GGAAAGGTTTGTTCCCAAGGGCAACAGAAATAATGGGAAGACCAGGATGAGCCCTTGGTTTACCTGAAGGTGTAGGGAGGCAAAAACAAAGCGTACTAGAGAATGGAAAAAGTACAGAAGGCAAAGGACCCAGGAAAATAAAGAGATTAGTCGAAGAGCCAGAAACGAGTATGCACAGATAAAGAGGGAGGCCCAGTGACAGTACAGAAACAGCAAAGCATCGAAAGTCAAGTCTGAGCCGAAACTGCTGTATAGCCACATTGAGGAAGACAACAGTTAAAGACCAGGTGATCAGACTGAGGAAAGAAGATGGGGAACTCATAAAAAATGATCAAGAGGTATGTGAGGAGCTCAACACGAGATTTAAGGAAGTATTTACAGTGGAGACAGGAACGACTCTTGGAAGACAGAACAGAGGGAGAAATCAACAAGGAATATACCAAGTGTTGGATAACATACACACAACTGAGGAGGAGGTGAAAAACCTGCTAAGCAACCTCGATACCTCAAAGGCAATGGGACTGGACATCATCTTCCCTGTGGGTCCATAGAGAGGGAGCAGAGATGCTGTGTGTGCCACTAACCATGATCCTCAACACATCCCTTAAAACTGGCCAACTATCTGAGGTGTGGAAGACAGCAAATGTAGTACCCATTTTTAAGAAAGGAAACAGAAGTGAGGCACTAAACTATAGACCAGTGACACTGATGTGTATAGTCTGCAAAGTCATGAGAAGGTTATCAGGAGGAGAGTGATAGATCACCTGGAATGGAACAAGATTATAAATGGCAACCAGCACGGATTCATGGAAGCAAATCCTGTGTCATAAACTTTCTGGAGTTTTATGACAAAGTAACAGAAGTAAGACAAGAGAGAGGGGTGGGTTGTTTGCATTTCCCCGGACTGCAGGAAGGCCTTCGACACAGTTCCTCACATGAGATTAAGGCAGAAACTGGAGGATCAGGCGCATATAACAGGAAGGGCACTGCATTGGATCAGAGAATACCTGACAGGGAGACAACAACGAGTCATGGTACGTGATGAGGTATCACAGTGGGCACCTGTGATGAGCGGAGTCCCACAGGGGTCAGTTCTAGGACCAGTGCTATTTTTGGTATATGTGAATGACATGATGGAAGGGATAGACTCAGAAGTGTCCCTGTTCACAGATAATGTGAAGTTAATGAGGAGAATTAAATCAGATGAGGATCAGGTAGGACTACAAAGAGACCTGGACAGGCTGAACACGTGGTCCAGCAACTGGCTTCTCGAATTCAACCCCACCAAATGCAAAGTCATGAAGATTGGGGAAGGACAAAGAAGACTGCAGACAGAGTATAGGCTAGGTGGCCAAAGACTGCAAGCCTCACTCAAAGAGAAAGATCTTGGGGTGAGCATAACACTGAGCATGTCTCCAGAAGCACACATCAACCAGATAACTGCTGCAGCATATGGGTGCCTGACAAACCTGAGAATAGTGTTCCATTACCTTAGTAAGGAATCATTCAAGACACTGTACACTGTGTATGTTAGGCCCATACTGGAGTATGCAGCACCAGTTTGGAATCCACAACTGGTCAAACATGTCAGGATACTAGAGAAAGTGCAAAAGTTTGCAACAAGTTTAGTTCCGGAGCTTAGAGGAATGTGCTACGAAGAAAGATTAAGGGAAATCGACCTGACGATGCTGGAGGATAGGAGGATCAGGGGAGACATGATAACAACATACAAAATATTGTGTGGAATAGATCAGATGGACAGAGACAGGATGTTCCAGAGAGGGACACAGAAACAGGGGGTCACAACTGGAAGCTGAAGACTCAGATGAGTCAAAGGGATGTTAGGAAGTATTTCTTCAGTCATAGAGTTGTCAGGAAATGGAATAGTCTAGCAAGTGATGTAGTGGAGGCAGGAACCATTCATAGCTTTAAGAGGAGGTATGACAAAGCTCAGGGAGCAGAGAGAAAGAGTACCTAGCAGCGATCAGTGAAGAGGCGGGGCCAGGAGCTGAGTCTCGACCCATACAACCACAATTAGGTGAGTATACACACACACACACACACACACACACACAAACACACCATATATATCTTTAATTCCAGTGATTCATTAGTTTTAAGGCCTCAACTGCATGAATGTATAATAATTAAGGCAACAGTCCACTGAATAACTAAGTGGTCAGAACAGTTGGTTAACAATCAAAACTTCCTGGGTTTGATACCTTTACCTTAGAAAGGCAAGATGTGAGCGAATCATTTTACACTTGTTGCACCCGGGACAAAATTGACCTAATTTGCCCGAAATGCTCTTCATAACAAGGGGCTTTCTTTATAGTAGTATGTCATTGATGTCAGATAGGCCTGTATACCTTGTACATGCACTTGTAGAAGTAAAGATTTTATTATTATTTGCTTAAAATAAATAGGTACTGTCCTGGGTGCTGGTTAACTGTAGTGACTCATACCCCAAGGATGTTATGCCGAAGCAAGAGCTGAGAATGAGTTGAGTTGTTAGCTAGTAAGGAAAAAAAGTTAACACCAGGAATACTGGAAAATCTAAAATAATGGGAAACTGGCACCACTAATTATAGTTAGCTGGATGGATTCAGTTCAAAATGTGTATACATGGAGTATACCTAGAGAGGGTTTCAGGGGTCAACTCCCCCAGGACCTGGTCTGTAACCAGGCCTCATAGTGGATCAGGGTCTGATCAGCCAGGCTGTTACTGTTGGCTGCATGCAACCTGGCGTACAAACCACAGCCCAGCTTGTCAGGTACTGACTTAAAGTGCCTGTCCAGTGCCTTCTCGAAGACAGCCAGGGGTCTGTTGGTAATCCCCCTTATGTAAGCTGGGAGGCAGTTGAACAGTCTTGGGCCCCTGACACTTATTGTGTTGTCTCTTATCATGCTAGTGGCACCCCTGCTTTTCATTGGGGGGATGTTGCATCGTCTGCGGGGTCTTCTGCTTTCATAGGGAGTGATTTTCATGTGCAAATTTGGTACTAATCCCACTAGGATTGCCTAATCAAGTGTTTCAGTTGCTGCTTATTTGGACTGTAGAACATGTCTGAAAATATTGAAGTGTTGTGGCAAGGACATATATGAGGTTAAGTAGAAAAGAGGAAATAAAGACAACCAGATGAGAGCATAGGAAATAGAAACAACCAGATGGGAATATAGGAAATAAAAATAACCTAATGGGAACATAGGAAATAAAAACAACCAGAGGGAATATAGGAAATAAAGACAACTAGATGGGAACATAGGAAATAAAGACAACCAGATGGGAACACAGAAATTCATGGAGAATACAGTTTTAATTGGAAAGGGTGTGAGGTGATACCCAGGTGTGTGTATAGCCAAAAAAGAGATTAGTCAACAGTAGAACAAGTACCTATATGCTGTGTGTTTCTTTCACAGTATGTTGTATACAACATGTGTAATTTTCATTGTAACACAGTTTTGTGTTTTTAAATTTTTAGTTATTACAGTATATTCAACTAAAAATATAATTTGTTTATGCAGTAATTATAGTAATGTGAAAGTGTTAAACACACAAGGATCATACAGTACCTTGGGAATGAGATGTTATCAGGCATGATCAGATGATGGGGAGATTAACTTTAATTCCTTGGACTGAGAGCCCTTCAGCATCTCCTTAACCTCCTAAAGGGAAAAGGGAAGGGAGTTTTAAACTTAATAATCCTGGTCTTAAATCGTATTGCCTAATCTAAGTAAACCAAAGGGTACTGTTTTTTTTTTTTTTTCAACAAGTCGGCCGTCTCCCACCGAGGCAGGGTGACCCAAAAAAGAAAGAAAATCCCCAAAAAGAAAATACTTTCATCATCATTCAACACTTTCGCCACACTCACACATTATCACTGTTTTTGCAGAGGTGCTCAGAATACAACAGTTTAGAAGCATACACATATAAAGATACACAACATATCCCTCCAAACTGCCAATATCCCAAACCCCTCCTCTAAATTGCAGGCATTGTACTTCCCATTTCCAGGACTCAAGTCCGACTATTGTTATAAACCGATATTTATCTTTACTGTTTCATGAGTGTAACAATAGGATAGCAAAGATTTGAACAAACCTTGGTTGGTTGACCCCTGGGTGTTGGGCATTTGAACTAACTTTGGTATGCGGACCCCTGGAGCATGAAGCATTTGAGCAAGCCTTAGTAGGCCAACCCCTGTGGTGCTGGGCAGGCACATTACCACTGCACCACTGACATAAAAAATGTTGTAACTGGATCATTAACTGCATCTTAACATAGTTGTAAGGAACACTTCTGTTGAAAATCACTTCTTATAAGCTGTCTACAGTACATATTATGTGCATTCATCTTGTTCAAAGATGCATACAATTTCTCCCTCATGTGTACGTGTTTTACTGGTTATTTCTAAACATTTGCCATTAAACTGTACATGTTGATTTGACTAACATATAAGTGAAGTGATTATTATCATCACCATTAAATAACCAATTTGATTAGGTGAAGAGAAAATAATAACTTAATACAGGGAAGAATTTTGAGGAACGTAAATGCTGTTTGTATGCCATGTCTGGAGAACAAGGAAAGTTGGTAATATTTGTTAGTTCACAAATATCACCAATCTTAATACATTTGTACCCCAAGTTCCGCCATAATTTGTTCCAGAAGACTGTTTGAATGCTGTTACTAAACGAATTTGCTTCCATGAGGAATAATGTAAATAAGATTAATCTATTTCATACCCCCCAAAAATACACTTACAAAAGCACTTACAATAATACACTTACATAATTGTTCAAATTGGGAGCTGTACGAAACTTGGGGTACCACTGTAGATTTAGAAATATTTTGTAGTAATTACTGTACCTTGCATTATAAACTGAAACACAGTGTATTTCACATTATTAAAATAGTGAGCATTTTATTTTCTAAATATTACTGTTGTTAAGCAGGTTTTTTTATGTTCATTAATTTTAATCTTTGTTTTCTTGCACAGCGGCGGAGCTATGTCCAAGTCTAGGGTGTGAGTATGCTTGTCGGGCCTCTCTAGCTGGTGGAGAATGTTACTGCCCACCAGGGAAGCAAGTCTCCAATGATACACGAACATGCATTGGTAAATTTTTTCTTTATTTCATTAAGGTTTAAGAAAACAATTAAACATATTCTCAGATGACACAAACATACCACATGTAAACATTAAAATGGACAAATAAAACCGAGTACAGCCTCTACTCACGTAATGACGAAGTTCTGTTCCTAAGACCATGTCAGTAAACAAATTTGTCACTAAGCAAGAAGCATACTATAATAGTAGTGGGTTTGCATCAGCCATCTTTGATATTGTTTTAATGTCACCTTTGCACCATTTATAACATTTTTAGTATATTTTTAAATGTTTATACAGTAGTGTACTGTATATTGTAATAAACAGAACAAAGGAAATCAGCTCTGATATACATTATTTAGCTATTCATACTAGTCAGAGAGCCTGTCGTAAGTCCGAGTCAGTAAACGAGTACGTCACTAAGTGAGGAGAGGCTGTATTTATATTTTGGCCTCACACTTAAGCCTTCTTCAAACTAAAAACTGTACAGTGAGAATAATCTGTGTATACAACCAGGTGATAAGACTTAAATCAGAGTGTAGGAATAAGTGACATTAATTCCAGAACAGTATGGTTGCTGGTTTCCAGTGCTCTTGGAATTTTTGTTTTAATTCATTGGCAGTCTGCCAAGGCAGAGTGACCTGAAAAAGAAAAGACATTCACTCAGTCTCCGTCTCTCCAAAATGTGTGTTGACATCACAACTACATGTCATAACTGACTTGAGGATTTTGAGATATTGTATATGCCATTTGTTGTGGTCTAAATTATGGAGGTACAGGTGGGCCCTGCTTTACAGCATTTTGCTAAAGCAGTGGTTTTCATTTATACCCATTCTTCATTTATTCAGGCTTCCTACAGTAAATATCTTCACCACTCACTATAAGCTAAGAATGAAAATATTTTAAGGTAAGTAATGTGTGTACTGTATATCCATTTTTTTTAGCTCTATTGCTCACTTAATACATGATAGTGTAAACATGTTACTAGCTTTCATATGCCTTTGAAAGCAGTAAAAAGCTATGTTTCACTTTACAGCAATTTTTCCTTTGCAGCAGTAGCCCGGAATCTAACATGCTGTATAAATGGGGGGCTCCTGTAGCTTCTCAGTTAATATTATTGTTATGATTTTACCATATTGGAAAGCTGCTAAACTTTCTTGTTTATATTTAACAGATCTCTTTTATTTAGTTAATATGTTGACTAAGTTTCTAATCATAGAAGTAACAGGATATAAAAGATCCATTACATATGCACAAGGCAGTTAAGCGTGTGAAGAATTATAATCATGATTATACTGCAAAACAGCCTCTCCTCACTTAACCCTTAAACGGTCCAAACGTATATATACGTTCACGTGCGTAGCGCCCCAAACGTATATATGTGTTTTCCTTGTTATTCATTCAACATTGCCACAATAAGCCTGAGTCACCTAGACATGAGAGAATGGGTGTGCGCATTCACTGTGCATCATATTAAAATAATTGGGGATGCCTGGGTACCATATGCTCTTTTTTCCTATTAAAAAAAGACATTTTTTTCTCTCAAAAATTTTGGGGCGCTATGCGAGCGAACGTATATACAGTGGACCCCCGGTTAACGATTTTAATCCGTGCAAGAGGGCTCATCGTTATGCGAAATAATCGTTATGCGAATTAATTTTCCCCATAAGAAATAATGGAAATAAAATTAATCCGTGCAAGACGCCCAAAAGTATGAAAAAAAATTTTTTTTACCACATGAAATGTTAATTTTAATACACACAAACTGAAAAAGGCATGCACAATTACATGACACTTACTTTTATTGAAGATCTGGTGATGATTGATGGGATGGGAGGAGGGGAGAGCATTATCTTCTTACTGTTTAGAAGGGGAATCCCCTTCCATTAGGACTTGAGGGAGCAAGTCCTTTTCTGGGGTTACTTCCCTTCTTCTTTTAATGCCACTAGGACCAGCTTCAGAGTCACTGGACCTCTGTCGCACAACAAATCTGTCCATAGACTCTGTAAACCTCCCGTTTTCTTCAAGACTTTCCTAAAATGGGCCATAACATTGTCATTGAAATAGTCACAAGCACGCTTGCAACAGCTGTGTCAGGGTGATTTTCATCTATAAAGGTTTGCAGTTCAAACCACTCTGCACACATTTCCTTAATCTTTGAAGTAGGCACAATGGATTCCACAACTGGCATAGGCTTCTCAGGGTTAGCCCCAAACCCTTCAAAATCTTTCTTAATTTCCATACTAATTCTCACCCTTTTTACCACAGGGTTGGCACTAGAAGCTTTCTTGGGGCCCATGGTCACTTATTTTCCAGAAACACCACCGAAAACACTGTAATAATACGAAATATTCCGAGTGTATGCTTGGATGTTACCGCGGAGGCTGGCTGGTAAACAATGGGACGGCCGGCACATGTGAGGGCACATTGGACGCGTCTCGGACGAAAATCGGTATGCGGGTTTTTAATCGGTATGCGGGGCAAAAATTTTGCGATAAAAGTAATCGTTATGCGGAAAAATCGCTATGCGATGCCATCGTTATGCGGGGGTCCACTGTATACGTTTGGACCATTTAAGGGTTAACAATGGAGTTCCGTTTCTAAGACCACATCGGTAACGAATTTATCGTTAAGTGAGGAACACACTATAATGGTAATGGGTTTGTGGGAACCATTTGATGTTGTTTTAATGTCACCTTTGCACCATTTATAACATTTCTGGTATATTTTTAAATGTTCATACAGTAGTGTACTGTATATTGTAATAAACAGAAAAGAGGAAATCAGCTCTAATATGCATTATTTAGGTAAGCATACTGGTCAGAGAGCCTGTCGTAAGTCCAAGGCATTGGTAAATGACTATGTTGCTAAGTAAGGAGAGGCTGTATATAGAGCAAATTGTATGTTTAAAAACAAAATTCAAGGATTTGCTTGAATTTCTAAGGCTGTAGAAATCTGATGCTGTTACCCTCCTTGTTCTAAGGCTATTTGTTTCTGCCTTTGACTAAAGTTATGTGACCTAACTTCATGCATATGATGCCATAAGTTTCATCTGAGATACACTATAGCTTGCTGAAAAAGTTTTTTGTGTTAAGGAAAAATATTGAGAGCCTGTCATATTTTTCTAATGTATTGTCTCCACATGTGTACTTGTGTTGCTTGCATTTAGATTTTGCTTTGCATATATAATACATTGTATTATTGTCTCTATAAACAATTTTTTATTTAATTTTTTTATTAAGACTAACTTACTAACTTTTTTCACTACAAAGACAAGGATGAGTGCAAGGAATGGGGCCATTGTGACCAGCAGTGTGTGAACACAGATGGGTCTTTCAAGTGCCTGTGTACAATAGGGTACATGCTTCATGACAACAAGCGCTGCTCTGCCATTAATGTTTCAGATAAGCACAAGATGGTTCTCTACTTTACACATCACGACAAAGTTTTGAAGGTCAGTCACTATGGAGTTTATACTTTTTGTAACACTTGGTGATAAGCAATTTTATTATATGTAAATTTATATTGATCTGTAGTATTATTATTTAACACACCATGCATCCCATACCATGGTAGGGTGACCTTTAAAAGAAAAAACACTTTAACCATCTTTCATTCAATCATGATCTTGTCAGAAGTGTGCCAGCATCACAGCTCAGCTAACCCTCTGAACTGCAGCATTCTTAACCCTTTTTCTGAGTGCAGGCACTGTACTTCCCACCTCCAGGACTTGGTCCAGCTAACTGGTTTCCCTGAATCCTATCATAAATATTACTTGCTTATATTCCAACAGCACATCAAACCATAAAAACCACTTGTCTCCACTCACTACTAATACCCTCACAAAAACCTATTGGATGTCCAAACTCCTAGCACTCAAATGGCTCCCTTACCCCTTCCTTCCACCCTTATCTGGGACAACACCTACTCTTCCTTCTATCCAAGCCTGAGTTATATGCCCTACCAGTCATCCTGTTTTGCTTCATCCTCTATGTCCAAACCACCACATCATCCCCCGTTATGTAGAAATTTATATTTGGGTATCCCTGAAAGGGTACCTTTAACCCCTTAACTGTCGCAACCCCAAATCCTGAGGTGTCTCCTGGTGTCACCAAATTTCCCCAAAAGAAAAAATATATTTTTTCTTATGAAATGATAGAGAATTTTTTCCCGATTGTAATGACACCAAAAGAACAAAATTTGGTGGAAAACTGATGGAATTACGCTCTCGCGAAGTTAGCAACCTCGCCGATATTTACGAATCGGCGATTTTGCCGTTTTGAACCCTATTTTTGGCTAATTCCATTGTTCCAGTCGACTAAACTCATAGCTATTTCTTTAGAATTCCATTTTTTCTATCGATTGAGTACAAGAAACTACCCATTTACAGATTTCAACTACCTAGTAACATGGTCAGAAATTTACAATTTAGCCAATTTCATGAAAATTAAAAAATATGAATTTCAAAATAGGGTCCAGAATGAACAAAGCAGACATTCCTGGCTCTAACATTTTCTTTGTTCATCAGTCACGTCTCCAGGCCCCTCTGATATTACTCTCGCTTTCTGTTTTGAATTTTTATTCAAACAAAAAATAGAAGATTTACTGTTATGCAGACTACTGCAATATTGTAATAATTGTATAAATAATGTCAACCCATTTATGACTGCATATTAGAATTGCTACTTGGACATTTATTGGAAAATGACATCATTTGTTTACTTTTGAACATCGGCAAAAATCAAACATTTTCCCTACTTTGAGCTCCATTTCAAGGTTCTTTTCATAGTACAACCAATCAAAAGCACTTATATTTCTATAATATGTTTTCCATTCTATCAAATGAGACCAAGAAAACAAGAATACACCTATAAATACTATACGAAAACAGACCACAAAGTCGGCATTTTAATTAAAAAAAAAAAAACGGTTGGAGTTTTTTTTTTTCCATTATGCACTGCGTGCTGCAAGATTTCTTTTATATGGTGCACACTGACCACACAAACCCATTCTTTCACATGTGGGCCTACCAGCTTTCTCCTGCTTGATTTGAAGCCGCTAGAATTCATGAGTACATTATGTACAGTGGACCCCCGCCATTCGGAGGCCGCGACTTTCGTGAAATCCGACTTTCGGCAAGTTTTTGTGGCAAAATTTAGCTTCGTGGTTTGTGATTGGACTCGTGATTCGGCGACCTTCTGGTACGCATCTGCCCGTCAGCGCGCACACAAAGCCAGTCTCCCGCACTATTCACACTCAGTGTGCCATTGTTTACCAGCATGTGACCATTACCCCATGGGTTCATACAACACATTTTATAATACACCTACCATCCGACTTACGACCGAGTTCGGTTCCGAGAAACCGGTCGTAAGTCAAAATGGTCGTAAGTCGAACTTTACTACTGAATATCAACAAAACATTTTTGTAATGACTTTATTTTATTGTTTTATTTTGGTATTTCATGTTTTACTTTACTTTTTATGTTGTTAGTACTGTATTTTATACTGTAAGGTTTAGAATAAACACTGTGTACAACACAAATAGTTGTTTATTTCTCAGAAATTTGGCATAAAAAACACGGTCGTAAGTCGAGTGGTCGTAAGTCGAGCAGGTCGTAAGTCAGATGGTAGGTGTAATTTATTTTTTTTGTGCTTGCAACTGCTAAATAAGCCACCATGGGCCCAAAGAAAGCTCCTAGTGCCAGCCCTTTGGTAAGGAAGGTGAGAAACACAATAGAATTCAAGAAAAAACTCATAGCAAAGTACTAAAGTAAAGGAGGAAGAGAGAGGAGAAAATGTGCCTTCTGCAGTGATTCAGTGATTCTACAATATGTATGATACTAAAGCAGCAGGTATCGATAAAGGCTATAGCTCCAGCCAGCGATAAAGTGTAGAATTAACAGTGTAGCAAGTAAGTTAAGCGAGTAAGCGATAGAAAAACAACATGAGAGTAACTCCAATGTTGTTGGATGTGTATAGGACCGCTGAACATACACTGCCCTGCTATCTTCCACCACCCTAAACCTCTGCCAACATCTCCTTCATCAAACTAACTAATTAAACTAACATCTCCTCCAAGGTAAGTGTAAATATAAAAGTGTAAGTATAAAAGTAAATATAAGTGTAAATATAAAAGGACACCAATGGAAATATGTCACTCTTGAATTTTTTGGGTTATCCTGGGTACTTTACGCATATGCTGCTATGTATGATAATCTATGTATGTAACTGTATTTGTGTATACCTGAATAAACTTACTTATTTATAAATTAAAATGAAAATATTTCTTATTTATGAATTACATACATTGTTTAAGTGTGATGGTGGTGGTGGCCAAAGCCTCCACCGCCACCAACATGGCTTCTCTCAGTGGCAGCCCTTAAACCCAACAACAACACTTACACCATTTACTCCTCTCATACATTATGACATATTTTATTCATTCTAGAGTATATATCGTGTTTCTATGTTGTTAACTCTTTCAGGGTTTCTGACGTACTAGTACGGCTAAATTCTAGTGCCTTCAAATCTAGTGAGAGAAAGCTGGTAGGCCTACATATGGAAGAATGGGTCTATGTGGCCAGTGTACACAGTATAAAAAAATCCTGCAGCACACAGTGCATAATGAAAAAAAAAAACTCCAACCATGTTTTTGGTTTAAAACAGCGACTTTGCAGTGTATTTTCGTATGGTATTTATGGTTGTATTTTAGTTTTCCTGGTCTCATTTTATAGAATAGAAGACATATTATGGAAATTGAGATGATTTTGATTGGTTTCTTAATGAAAAGTACCTTGAAATTGAGCTCAAAGTAGCAGAAATGTTCGATTTTTACCGAAGTTCAAAAGTAACCAAATCATGCCAAGCGTCCAATACACATCAACTGGTGAGTTTAATATTCTTTCACAAGTGCGCTGATATTATTTATACCATTTCTACACTAATGCAGTAGTCTGCATAACAGTAAATCTATTTTTTGTGAGAATAAAAATTAAAAGTGGAAAGCAAAAAGAGATGTAAGAGGGGCCTGGGGACGTGACTAATGAACAGAGAAAGTGTTATTTTAGTGCCAGAAATGTCTTTCTTGTTTATTCTGGACCCTATTTGGAAATTGTCATCTTCTGAAATTTGTGTCAAATTGGCAAAATTGCCAATTTCTGACCACTTTATTGGATAGTTGAAATCAGCATAGGCATATATAGGCGAATCAAAAGAGGAGAGGGGCAGTTAAGAAATTAATATATTCATTTAAAGAGAAATAAAAAAAGGGAATAAGAGAAGCTAAAAAAGATTATATGGTTCAAGTTGCAAGAGAATTGAAGACTGACCCAAAAGGATTCTTTCAGGTACAGAAGTAAGATTAGGGACAAGATAGGCCCACTCAAGAGTTACTCAGGTCAGCTCATGGACAGTGATAAGGAAATGTATAGAATTTTTAACACTTCCTCAGTTTTTTCACAGGAAGATACTAGCGATATTCCAGAAATATCTGCACTTTCTAGAAAGGCATAGAATTGGGGGGGATATGATTGAGGTGTATAAATGGAAAACAGGAATAAATAAAGGGGATGTAAATAGCATACAACAAATATCTAGCCTAGACAGGACTTGCAGCTATGGCTTGAAGTTGGAAAAATTCAGATTCAGGAAGGATATAGGAAAGCACTGGTTTGGTAATAGAGTTGCAGATGAGTGGAACAAACTCCCAAGTACAGTTATAGTGGTTAAAATGTTGTATAGTTTTAAAAATAGGTTAGATAAATATATGAATGGGTGTGGATGGGTGTGAGTTGGACCTGACTAGCTTGTGCTACTAGGTCATATGCAGTGCTCCTTCCTTAAGTGAATGTGACCTGACCTGACTAGGTTAGGGCATTGGCTTAAGCCAGTAGGGGACTTGGACCTGCCTTGCATGGGTCAGTAGGCCTGTTGCAGTGTTCCTTCTTTCTTATATTCTTGTGTAACGAGCTAAATTCTTTGAATAATTGGTATTTTTGTGTGTCCCATGACCAAGATTATTAAACCTATTCAGAGCATCCTGGAATGGCTTGGATAACTTCCAAAATCCTCAGTGGTGTAGTGTCAGACGTAAAAATAAAAGATGCAAAAATATGACGATGGCTAAAAGTACAATTCAGATGTGTAAGTGCGGGTGTGACCATTTCGTGTGTAAAACAGTTTGACTTTTATTCTTTTTAAATCATGTTAAATAAATTTCAGTTTACCTTGAGAACAGCTTCAATATTTAATGACTGATGCATCTTAGGACCAGAATAATACCTATTAAGTTTCATTTTCATGCAGGCAAATTTGTTCATGTAATAAAATAGTAAGAAAAACTTGGAATTGTTGGACTCTGTACCATAACTAGAAAATGACTCATGTGGTTGGCTTCAAATTTTCATTAGTGGTGTGGCTTCCTGAACACAAGGCTCACACTGCTTCTTCTTAT